TTCTGTTAGAGTCAAATTGATGTAAAATTTATGCTTATTATATTATTATTATTATCCATCACTAGTGTACTTGTATATTCAAAATTAATATAAAATAACAAGTATTTGTTAAATTAGCATAATTTATTTTCAAATATTTTTTAATATTAAAAAATACATCAGTGTAAAAAAGAAACAAAATTCATGAACAGAAAATAAATCAACAAAAATCTTTATATCAATAAGTAAATAATTAGGTATTTATTTTTTATATAATAAAAAAGTATTATATTAATACTTAATTTTATAAATATAATTAAACATATATTTAATATTTCTTAATTTTATTTGAATTTGTATATTATTAGTATAATCAAATGGTCTTTAATTTTATAATTATTTTTATTGTGACAAAATAAATTATATAAATATATTTGTTCTATTGAATCAATTATTTATTATAAAATAATATCCAAATTCCATAAAAAATATATTTATAATTAATGGTGTCGTGAACAAAATTATGAAAAAAATACCATATACAAAAATAACACATAGTTGTAATAAAGAGACCGAATATTACTCTGTTTAAACCCTCAGCAACGACGGTGCCGCTTGCCCATGCCATGGTCCCCATTGTATTTCACTCCTTCCATCATCATTACATTTACATCTCATACACACCTATCACTGCATTAGACTGTCTACACCTTCATCTTACCTCTATCTGACACCTACCTCCACCTTCATCTCACTTTTTTTTTTTAATATTTTACTCCCATTTATTCAGATTTTTTGGATTGTTTTTCATTACAGAAAATAGATAAAGTTGTCACAAAATGAAGTAATTTAAACACCCAAAACTCACCTATACATCAACAGACACCTGTCCATTAGTGATGCCAAAGCATTTCTATAATATTGGTAACATAACCCATTCTCATCCTTTTCTCTTTCTCTTTCTCTTTCAAGCATCATATGAACAGTGCCAAATCTCTCAAATTCTTTTTTTCTTTTCCTCAGTTACTGCCGCCGTTAGGTTTTTCCCTCTCATCTTGCTCTGCATCACACCATAGCCCCAGGGCTGCATAATTAAGAGATGAACTGCTGAAAAACCATTCCCATGACTCCCTTGGTAAGACCTATGCTTCACTCTCATCAACATCAACCCTTTTTTTCTTCCAATACATGTTTCACTCTTTTACATTAATCCATTCCCAAATATCCCTCCGCAAGCAAAAAAAAAAAATCACACACTCTGTCACTGCTAACCTTAGCATCCCCGACCTTACCTTTTGTTTTAAGGAAGTGAAGAGCAAACCCTACCCTTAAATTCTCCCAGGTGGCGAAGATGAGTTTGGGCACCGCCGAGGACGATTCGGGTTCTGAAATCCACATCCCCGCGGAGATTGACTGGCACATGTTGGATAAGTCCAAGTTTTTCTTCCTGGGTGCCGCCTTATTCTCCGGTGTTTCCTTCACGCTCTACCCCATGGTCGTGTTGAAGACGCGCCAGCAGGTTTCCTCCTCACGCTTCTCCTGCCTCAACATGTCCTGCGCCATTATGCGCTACGAGGGTCTCAGAGGTTTTTACAAAGGCTTCGGCACTTCCCTCATGGGAACCATCCCCGCGCGTGCGCTCTACATGGGGTCGCTTGAAGTCACTAAAAGTAACGTCGGGACAGCTTTTCTCGAATTGGGGTTCTCTGAGACGACGGCTGTGGCGGTGGCTAATGCCACGGCGGGTGTTACTTCCGCCATGGCGGCGCAGCTGGTGTGGACCCCGGTTGATGTCGTGAGTCAACGGCTCATGGTTCAGGGGAGTGGAGGGAGTAAAACCATTCTGGCCAATCTTAATTCCGAGAGTTACAGGAACGGGTTTGACGCGTTCAGGAAGATTCTGTGTGCCGATGGAGCAAGAGGGTTCTACAGAGGGTTTGGGATTTCGATATTGACTTATGCTCCTTCCAATGCGTTTTGGTGGACTTCTTATTCCATGGTTCACAGACTCATCTGGAGTGCTTTTGGTTCTTACTTGAGTAAGGGTAAAAGTGAAAGCAACGATAATTTGAGTGGTGTTAGGCCTAATTCTAAGACAATGGTGGCGGTTCAAGGGCTGAGTGCGGTTATGGCCAGTGGGGTCTCTGCAATTGTGACAATGCCTCTGGATACCATCAAGACAAGGTTGCAGGTGTTGGATAACGAAGAGCATGGGAGAAGGAGACCATTAACTTTTGTTCAGACGGTGAGGAATTTGGTAAAGGAAGGTGGATTGCCCGCTTGTTACAGAGGATTGGGACCAAGATGGGCTTCCATGTCATTGTCTGCTACAACTATGATTACTACCTACGAGTTTTTGAAAAGAATGTCTACCAAGAGTCAATAGGATTTTGACTGCATGATAGACCACCCAAGTAAAAGATTGTTTGTTAGGAATTAAGAATTAGGATCACTTGTTCTTTGCTTGGAAATTTCTTTCTAGTTTGTATTAGTCGACCTTATCTGTATATAAAGCTTTTTTCTTTTTAAATTTCTTTGGATCTTTTACCAAATACAATACCTATGATTTTGGATTTTACAATGGCCTTTGAGGATTGCAGAGGACGTGGTAGAGACTAGAGGCATGAATGCAGGGTCGTGTTCAAACTCAGTCCCAAAACTGAAATTGACCTTCTGAGTTATATATTTTAGTGGCTGCTTTACTTTATAATTACACTACCCAAAGCTTATTATTCTATTGAAAATTGTAAGATCTGGTTGGGAGTTATGATTGAAATTTAGCATGGAGTAAATCCCATGATACATAAGGTAGAATCATTATCATTACCGGTGGTGATGCTGGGAATCAATTAGTAGAATGACCAACTTTTTGGGTGATGTGATAGTTTATTCTAAACTATAAGTATAAATATATATTATTTCTAATTCTGGCCTGCAAAAGAAAAAGAAAGCAATTTTTGTTACCACACTGAATTAGCCACCCGAACTATTTTGGTTTGCATTATAAAACATGGTGAAAGTGAGACTTGGTTTAGAATTTGGAATCTAGTTTAAATGGTGAGAAAGATAAAATCATTTAATCTAATTCCAATTGAAATGTAAATTAGGGATCTGTTAAGTTGAAAAGTAGATAAAAGCAATAGATGAAAAGCATGAGAAATAAAGGAAGCAGACAAAACAGTAGACAGAGGTGCGCCTCCTGAATGTTGTCCTTTGTTGAAACTAGGAGCTGAAGAGGAAACCATTTTTGGATCTGCTATGTCCCATAAGAAAAATGAATTGGCATTTGCATTTCTATGGACCATTAAGGAGCCAAATCTGTGGGCCAAGGCCTATCCCTTGAAGATGATGAGCCAGGTCTCTTGTAATGCAAAACCTTCACAAGGCAGTGACAAATGGTAGAATCTGTATATAATAGGATAACCTTTTTTCCAAGTTTTACAACTCACAACAATCAGACTCACTGTTACTCTGTGCTTTCAGACAAATAATATTCCAAAGTCAATGGGATTACCTTCAAATTCTTACTACATTTTTCAGTTTTTCTTCCTTTTCCAAACCATCTTAGCAAATATGTTTCTTACTAAATTTGAATCATTTTTTTTAAGATATCATAAATCATAGTTAATGTCGTCTTTAAAATAATTACAGTGAAAGTTAATAAATTTCTTATATATAATTGTGATGAGGTAACAATGTGAAATAATATATTTCTAAAAGTAATAATAATATCATTTTATTTTTTTTATTATAATAATAACAAATCTTTTAATTTTGAAACGAGAGGATAGAAAAACTCAAAGTAAAGCAATAGATTAGTAAATAGAATTTGGAATATAATTTAAGTAAATAATTGGAAATTAATTTTTAAAATTAAATTTATGAAAAAAAACATGAATTATACTTTTTTTTTCATTACTATCTCTCTAGCTATTTTATCAATTTGTTTTACTTCTTACAAGGATAAATGGTGTAGGCAGAAAAGATTCAACTAACTAGTGGTGTTTTCTGATTGGATGAGTTTAATGAAGTGATATTTAAGTTCAATTACCAATGGATGAATTACACCACATGATATAGTAATTAGATTTTTCACAATTTAACCTATATAGTCATTTTATCATTTATAAGATCCTTCCATTTAGGAAAANCGTGTCTAAATGTTGTCAAAAATGGTTGTTCAAGTATCATTTTCCAAGAAAAGATGGTAATAATATTGACTTATTTCTGTTAGTTATATTATAATTGTTTTCGTAACAATTCATACCTGTCTCTCATCATTATGTTTTTGTAATTTTCACGCTTCTACCACGTCCTCAGCACATAAGAACAGGTGAGTTTTCTGTTAGAGTCAAATTGATGTAAAATTTATGCTTATTATATTATTATTATTATCCATCACTAGTGTACTTGTATATTCAAAATTAATATAAAATAACAAGTATTTGTTAAATTACCATAATTTATTTTCAAATATTTTTTAATATTAAAAAGTACATCAGTGTAAAAAAGAAACAAAATTCATGAACAGAAAATAAATCAACAAAAATCTTTATATCAATAAGTAAATAATTAGGTATTTATTTTTTATATAATAAAAAAGTATTATATTAATACTTAATTTTATAAATATAATTAAACATATATTTAATATTTCTTAATTTTATTTGAATTTGTATATTATTAGTATAATCAAATGGTCTTTAATTTTATAATTATTTTTATTGTGACAAAATAAATTATATAAATATATTTGTTCTATTGAATCAATTATTTATTATAAAATAATATCCAAATTCCATAAAAAATATATTTATAATTAATGGTGTCGTGAACAAAATTATGAAAAAAATACCATATACAAAAATAACACATAGTTGTAATAAAGAGACCGAATATTACTCTGTTTAAACCCTCAGCAACGACGGTGCCGCTTGCCCATGCCATGGTCCCCATTGTATTTCACTCCTTCCATCATCATTACATTTACATCTCATACACACCTATCACTGCATTAGACTGTCTACACCTTCATCTTACCTCTATCTGACACCTACCTCCACCTTCATCTCACTTTTTTTTTTTAATATTTTACTCCCATTTATTCAGATTTTTTGGATTGTTTTTCATTACAGAAAATAGATAAAGTTGTCACAAAATGAAGTAATTTAAACACCCAAAACTCACCTATACATCAACAGACACCTGTCCATTAGTGATGCCAAAGCATTTCTATAATATTGGTAACATAACCCATTCTCATCCTTTTCTCTTTCTCTTTCTCTTTCAAGCATCATATGAACAGTGCCAAATCTCTCAAATTCTTTTTTTCTTTTCCTCAGTTACTGCCGCCGTTAGGTTTTTCCCTCTCATCTTGCTCTGCATCACACCATAGCCCCAGGGCTGCATAATTAAGAGATGAACTGCTGAAAAACCATTCCCATGACTCCCTTGGTAAGACCTATGCTTCACTCTCATCAACATCAACCCTTTTTTTCTTCCAATACATGTTTCACTCTTTTACATTAATCCATTCCCAAATATCCCTCCGCAAGCAAAAAAAAAAAATCACACACTCTGTCACTGCTAACCTTAGCATCCCCGACCTTACCTTTTGTTTTAAGGAAGTGAAGAGCAAACCCTACCCTTAAATTCTCCCAGGTGGCGAAGATGAGTTTGGGCACCGCCGAGGACGATTCGGGTTCTGAAATCCACATCCCCGCGGAGATTGACTGGCACATGTTGGATAAGTCCAAGTTTTTCTTCCTGGGTGCCGCCTTATTCTCCGGTGTTTCCTTCACGCTCTACCCCATGGTCGTGTTGAAGACGCGCCAGCAGGTTTCCTCCTCACGCTTCTCCTGCCTCAACATGTCCTGCGCCATTATGCGCTTCGAGGGTCTCAGAGGTTTTTACAAAGGCTTCGGCACTTCCCTCATGGGAACCATCCCCGCGCGTGCGCTCTACATGGGGTCGCTTGAAGTCACTAAAAGTAACGTCGGGACAGCTTTTCTCGAATTGGGGTTCTCTGAGACGACGGCTGTGGCGGTGGCTAATGCCACGGCGGGTGTTACTTCCGCCATGGCGGCGCAGCTGGTGTGGACCCCGGTTGATGTCGTGAGTCAACGGCTCATGGTTCAGGGGAGTGGAGGGAGTAAAACCATTCTGGCCAATCTTAATTCCGAGAGTTACAGGAACGGGTTTGACGCGTTCAGGAAGATTCTGTGTGCTGATGGAGCAAGAGGGTTCTACAGAGGGTTTGGGATTTCGATATTGACTTATGCTCCTTCCAATGCGTTTTGGTGGACTTCTTATTCCATGGTTCATAGACTCATCTGGAGTGCTTTTGGTTCTTACTTGAGTAAGGGTAAAAGTGAAAGCAACGATAATTTGAGTGGTGTTAGGCCTAATTCTAAGACAATGGTGGCGGTTCAAGGGCTGAGTGCGGTTATGGCCAGTGGGGTCTCTGCAATTGTGACAATGCCTCTGGATACCATCAAGACAAGGTTGCAGGTGTTGGATAACGAAGAGCATGGGAGAAGGAGACCATTAACTTTTGTTCAGACGGTGAGGAATTTGGTAAAGGAAGGTGGATTGCCCGCTTGTTACAGAGGATTGGGACCAAGATGGGCTTCCATGTCATTGTCTGCTACAACTATGATTACTACCTACGAGTTTTTGAAAAGAATGTCTACCAAGAGTCAATAGGATTTTGACTGCATGATAGACCACCCAAGTAAAAGATTGTTTGTTAGGAATTAAGAATTAGGATCACTTGTTCTTTGCTTGGAAATTTCTTTCTAGTTTGTATTAGTCGACCTTATCTGTATATAAAGCTTTTTTCTTTTTAAATTTCTTTGGATCTTTTACCAAATACAATACCTATGATTTTGGATTTTACAATGGCCTTTGAGGATTGCAGAGGACGTGGTAGAGACTAGAGGCATGAATGCAGGGTCGTGTTCAAACTCAGTCCCAAAACTGAAATTGACCTTCTGAGTTATATATTTTAGTGGCTGCTTTACTTTATAATTACACTACCCAAAGCTTATTATTCTATTGAAAATTGTAAGATCTGGTTGGGAGTTATGATTGAAATTTAGCATGGAGTAAATCCCATGATACATAAGGTAGAATCATTATCATTACCGGTGGTGATGCTGGGAATCAATTAGTAGAATGACCAACTTTTTGGGTGATGTGATAGTTTATTCTAAACTATAAGTATAAATATATATTATTTCTAATTCTGGCCTGCAAAAGAAAAAGAAAGCAATTTTTGTTACCACACTGAATTAGCCACCCGAACTATTTTGGTTTGCATTATAAAACATGGTGAAAGTGAGACTTGGTTTAGAATTTGGAATCTAGTTTAAATGGTGAGAAAGATAAAATCATTTAATTTAATTCCAATTGAAATGTAAATTAGGGATCTGTTAAGTTGAAAAGTAGATAAAAGCAATAGATGAAAAGCATGAGAAATAAAGGAAGCAGACAAAACAGTAGACAGAGGTGCGCCTCCTGAATGTTGTCCTTTGTTGAAACTAGGTGCTGAAGAGGAAACCATTTTTGGATCTGCTATGTCCCATAAGAAAAATGAATTGGCATTTGCATTTCTATGGACCATTAAGGAGCCAAATCTGTGGGCCAAGGCCTATCCCTTGAAGATGATGAGCCAGGTCTCTTGTAATGCAAAACCTTCACAAGGCAGTGACAAATGGTAGAATCTGTATATAATAGGATAACCTTTTTTCCAAGTTTTACAACTCACAACAATCAGACTCACTGTTACTCTGTGCTTTCAGACAAATAATATTCCAAAGTCAATGGGATTACCTTCAAATTCTTACTACATTTTTCAGTTTTTCTTCCTTTTCCAAACCATCTTAGCAAATATGTTTCTTACTAAATTTGAATCATTTTTTTTAAGATATCATAAATCATAGTTAATGTCGTCTTTAAAATAATTACAGTGAAAGTTAATAAATTTCTTATATATAATTGTGATGAGGTAACAATGTGAAATAATATATTTCTAAAAGTAATAATAATATCATTTTATTTTTTTTATTATAATAATAACAAATCTTTTAATTTTGAAACGAGAGGATAGAAAAACTCAAAGTAAAGCAATAGATTAGTAAATAGAATTTGGAATATAATTTAAGTAAATAATTGGAAATTAATTTTTAAAATTAAATTTATGAAAAAAAACATGAATTATACTTTTTTTTTCATTACTATCTCTCTAGCTATTTTATCAATTTGTTTTACTTCTTACAAGGATAAATGGTGTAGGCAGAAAAGATTCAACTAACTAGTGGTGTTTTCTGATTGGATGAGTTTAATGAAGTGATATTTAAGTTCAATTACCAATGGATGAATTACACCACATGATATAGTAATTAGATTTTTCACAATTTAACCTATATAGTCATTTTATCATTTATAAGATCCTTCCATTTAGGAAAAAATTAATATGACAGTGTTAAAATTAAGGTGAGATTTGAATGAAAAAAGAAATCATGTAAATATTTAGGTAAAGATAGGAAAAGACTAAATAAACAATAAAAGGCTTCGAGGAGTAAGAAAATATACGCCCATTGAAATATTTTTGGTATAATTAATTTGTATTGACATTCAATGACCATATTAAACAAACATAAGTATTTCTTTTTGTATATTAAATAAGGTATAGGAATTAGGATGTTGTTATTAACTTTTGGGCACAAATAATATTTTTGTCCTAAAGAAAGTTGACGTTCAATTTAAGATACTGTTGACCAAGCATTATTGAAATCACTAGTTGACAATATTTGATCCATTGGAACATCTTATAAGTCAAAAGAAAAGGAGACAAAAGTGATTCATATAACAGGATAGAAAAAAAATATTAAACTAAATTGTAAAACAAGATTGGGAGATAATTATTTAAGTATTGCATTTCTTAACAAATAAACAAAAAATTTCAATATAATAATGTAGCGTGAGATCTTAAAATTATAATAATTAAAAAATAAATAAATAAGATTAAATATATAATTTAAGTAAAATATTAAATGGTTACTTAATTATAGTTTAAAATATTTATTTTATTTTAAATTATGATAAGAAATAAAATAGTTTACTAATTATTTAATTTAAACGATTTATTTTACTGAAAAAGATTAAGATAATAGATAGAATGATTTATTTAAAAACGTTTCTTTTATTTAAAGATTTTTTAAGATATAAAATGGTTTAATAATATTTTAAAAGATTTATTTAACTTTAAAAAATTAAAAAATAAGATTTTGTGAATAATATTTTAATTAGTAAAATATTAAACATATCTTTAAAAGGATAAAGTGGTTATAAAAATTATATAACCTAAAATAGGTGAATTGAGGATGTACATCTCATTTTAATAGTATAAAGCTATTAAAATATTACCTTACATATATGATAAAATTAATTACACAAAGATAATAGATCTACTTCTGTAAATTCATCTACCAAATCATATGCTTTGTCCTTACCTCTCACAGGAACAACTAAAAGACGTTCTCTAAGCTCACATCATTTAGGTGATTATCACAAAGAGAAAACAACACACAATAGACAATATAAAAGCAATTGTAAATTAGTGATACAAAACAAATTGTATAACATTTAGACAATAGCAACCATGAATCACATATAACATACATCAACCAAAACATCTTAACATGCAAGGACCTAGACTGACTATCTATATTTATAATGAATGTCGAGCTATGACAAGTTGTGCACTTGTGGTGGCTTATACTATTTTGCAAAATCATTGCCAATGGGTTTCACCCTACCACACACTCACAAGGTTAGTTTGTTTCACACCTTGGATCATACTGGAAGCACTCAAGACTAAGATTTCCTACTACTCTCACCACATGTGTCAATCTTCTCTACTTGAGAATGAAAGACCATTAAAGTGTCAGGATAACCGCCAATACTGAGCACTCTACATTCAGACTAATGAACCACACCACGAAGTTCCACCTTGAAACTAACTTTCATAACTTTGAAATCATTGATGTCACTTCATATTTACATTGAATCCATTTGAAACCATATACATATTCTTGTTTCCAATTCATATTATAAATCAATTCATACTTCACAATAAGTATTATAAACCAATCATACAAACACTCACATACATTGAACACACTTTAAGAAAATATATAAAAACTTAGTTGAAAATATGATACTGTCACTCAACCATCAAGTCTACTCGCTCAGCTAAAAGTGTTTGTCAGCACACTCGCTCACCACCAAGACTCGCTCAGCGAATACAGAAACAATGGGTTATGCTCGCTCAACAACTACACTTGCTCAACGAGAAGTGTTCTCTTGCTCAGCTAGAATCCACTCGCTCAACTAGATTGCATAATTCTACAGCACCAAAACTACAGAATTTGCACCCTTCAACCACTCATGATTTGTCCTATGCATCTTTCTCAACTTCTAACACTCTTAGATTGTATTCTAAATTCAAATGGACTTAAACAAATGTATCTAAACCAATCTAGACTTATTTTAAACTGTTTTACCACAAGATTTCAATATAAAATTAACCTAAACGTCACTTTAAAGACCAAAATTTAATTCTACAAGTTCTAGCTCATTTTTTATTAACTTAAAGGCTCTAACAAGTCAGAAATGACTTACCAATACCCTCTAAAATCACCATTTTGACACAAGACTTAAAATTCAAAAGCTCACTAGTTCAAACCCCCAAAATACACTTAAACAACTTTGTAAATACTCTAAAATGACTACCACTCGATTCTAAAGTTAATTCTCATCCCAAACAAGTTACAAATGACCAAATAACAACCCTAAAACAGTTGTTTCTTCACCCCTAACACCTATTTCTCAAACTCACCTATTAAAACCTCCTTTTTTAAATTCACCATCCAAGTATTTAATCCCTCTTCCCTTTAAATACTTTGAAATAAATTTTCAACATCAAAACAACTTCATATTACATCATTCAATACAACAAAGACATTCCATTTTATCATATCAAACATAGATCATACACATTTAATTGAACTAACATAGCATAAATACTCAAATAAAACATATTGCTTTCCTTACCTTACACCAAAGCAACAAAGCTTTATAAACACAAAACCCTTGCTTAGAGCTCAAGGAACTATAAAAACGCCTATAAAACATCGAACAATGATCAGAGAGAGTCCTTAAGACCTCTGATCTATAGGAAACTTGGAAAAGACATTACAACTCACATGCAACAAGAGATCAACATGATCTTAATTAAGAACGAAAAAAAGAAAAGGAGCTTAAACTTACTTACTCTATTGAAGAAACTGGATCGAATAGAAACGTAGACCTCGTTATCGTGGTCAATTAAGTACCTCCTGATCGTTAAAGAGATTACTCAAGATTTAAAACTCTTAGAGAGAAGATAGAGAACTCTAGAAAAATGATTTCTAGAGATATGATACGTTAATAAAACTCGTTTATAACAAAATTATTTATAAATAAACTATTTAATATTAAAATAATCGAGTCTTAGTATTTTTAAACTACTATCACTTCTAAAATACTATTTAATACTATTTTTTGAAATTTTACAGAGGTGCATGTAAGAGACTAAAAAATAAAAAAAAAATTCAATGCTTTAAAGAGTGAAACTAGAGGATTTTTTTAAGGATAGTTTTGAAACAGTTTTTGATAGAAACATATGGAAATAAACATATAATTTAAAGTGGAGCGTAAAAGGAAGAGGCATTAATCTTCATAAATTTTAAAATAAAAAATAAAAGCAGATTCTTTGTATTTTTTTTTCTTCTGAGTTCATTTTTTGTTATATTCAGCGTTTATAAAAAATAAATTATAACAAACGAAAAATATTGACAAGATAAATAATTTAACTCCAATTTATNTTTTTCATTACTATCTCTCTAGCTATTTTATCAATTTGTTTTACTTCTTACAAGGATAAATGGTGTAGGCAGAAAAGATTCAACTAACTAGTGGTGTTTTCT